TACGGAGGGTATCTGCGGGGGGAACGTGCCGTTACCACTTACTCGTAACCTCCAGAGCGACTGCTTGCTTACTTATCAACCCATTACCTGTTTGTCTGGTACTTGTCTACCAATCGTCCCCTCGCGTCTCGCCGCCGGGCGGGCCGGGCGAGGGCGGGCCGGCGGCGCCTGTGACTCGGGCTCGCCCGGAAAGGTTTCGAAGGGGTGTCGGCCAGACAGCATAATGTAGAGCATGACGCCGACCGACCACATGTCGATCTGCTGGTCGTACGGCACCTACAGCCGAGATCCAGCCGAGATCCAGCCGAGATCCAGCCGAGATCCAGCCGAGATCTCTGCTGGTCGTCTGGCGCCTACAAGGGTCCCGACAAGGTCCCGAGCAAGTTCCGACACACACACGCCGATCTGCTGGAAGGACGCCACCGACGCGTCCGCCTGCTCGGGCGCCCAGTACGTCCACGTGCCAACCTTCCCGCCAGAGATGACTTGCTCGCCTACAGCAGACACGTCACGGACCTGTCATGGACGCGTCGTGGCAGGCCGGCCCGAGAGACGGCTTGCTCGCCTGCGGGGGGGGGTAGGGAGGAGGCGTCGGCGCCTCCGAGGGGCAGAGGCGCGCGAGCGGGGGCGGTGCGGCGCCCTCTTCGAGCAGCACCGCCGCGCCGAAGTACATCTCGGCTCTCTCTCTCGGCTCTCTCTCTCGGCTCCCTCTCGGCGCCCTCTTCGAGCAGCACCGCCGCGCCGAGGTCGATGAGCTTGACGGGCGAGTCCGGTGACGTCGACATGAGGACGACGTTCTCGGGCTTCATGTCGCGGTGGCAGATGCCTAGACCCTTCCGAGACACTTCCTAGACACTTCCTAGGCGGCCAGAGGGCTTCATGTCGCGGTGGCAGATGCCGCACGAGTGGAGGTGGTAGATGCCGCGCGCCACCTGCAACGTGCCATGCGAGGTGGTAGTGCAACGTGCCATGCGAGGTGGTAGTGCAACGTGCCATGCGTACCGGGCCTCGACTGGGTCCGAGGCGGACTCCCGGGCGCCCCACCCCCTCTCCTGCCCTCACCGCACCCCTCAACCCTCCCTACACCCGCTCGCCTGGCCGAGCAGCTGCGACGCGACCCGCTCCGAGTACGCGCCTACAGAGGACAGAGAGGCCTCGGCGAGGCCGTCTCCTCGAGGCCCGCTCCTCTGCAGACGCTGCAGCGCCGTGGTTGAGCAGCCGCTCAAACAGCTCGCCGCCCTCGGCCAGCTCCATCACGAGGTGCCACTCTCCGTCCGGCCCCACGTCGTTGGCCGGCACGTCGTACACGGCGAGCAGCTGCATGATGTGCGGGTGGCCGTGGCAGCGCACGAGCGATGCCACCTCCATGTTCAGGAAAGGCTCGAGCAGCAGCCGCTTGTCGACAACCTTGATGGCGACGCGCTTGCCGGTGGCGCGCTCCGTCGCTCGCCACACCGTCGCGGAGCCGCCCGACGCGATGATTGTGTTGAAGTCGTAGAGCGACTCGACCGCCTCTCTAGTTGCGTCGACGATGATCGCCGGCCGCGGGATGGCCTCGGCGATGCTCCCCACGCTCTCGTGCACAGAGCTGCGCGCCGACGACAGCCGCGCGTCGCCACCACCGCTCTTCGCTTCCTCGGCTTCGTCACCGCCCTCGCCAACGAGCCACGCGGTAGGAAGCACCGCGCCGAGCGCGACCCCAGCCACAGCCGCACCGGCCATGCCCAGCCCCATCGTCATCGCACTGATGCCGCCCGGAGCCCTCTGCGGCGCGGCGGCACAACGGCGGCGGCGAAGCAGCAGCAACGAGCGGCCAAGTGGCCGGCCGTGGCGACGTAGCGACAGGAAGCCCTGCATTTTTCGGCGCTGGCTCGCAACAAACAAGGGCCCCGTGAAGGGTTGGGCGCGCCACCCAAGAGGCAAGAGCGTAGGTACGTGCGGATCGGCAAAGCGCAACGCGTCGATCTTTTACCTTCTAGAACCTTGGGTGGTGATCCTGTGTGCGTGTGTGACTGGGAGTGTTCACTGGAAATACACCACGCAGGGGCACAGCAAGCACGGATAGCCGTTGAGCACTTGAGCACTTGATAGGGTCGATTCCGCATGGTACGGGACCCCTCGATCGTCTCGCCCACCCTCACTGGTGTGTTCATTGGGGGGGGTCATAGCCGTTGAGGAGAAAGCGCGTAAGATATACGCGCCACCTCCGCGAGCGCGGCGGGATCGGAATTGCGGCCGGAGGGAAGGGCGAGCCGCCGCCGCCGCCGCCATACCATCAGCGACGACGACTGTGGCTCGCCTCAAACGCCAGGCGCTGGATCGGCAGTACTCGTAGGAAACGAACATCTGAGTTTCAAATCTCGAATAAATCTCGAAACACACTTGAATGCTCACTTGGCAGGTAACATATGCGCCACGCGCCCCAACCGCTCCTCTGGTCGCCGCCGGCCTCCGCGGCGGCGGCGATGTCCCAGCGCCACCCATCGGCCAGCCCTCAGATCGATCGATCGCGGATCGGCGCTCAAAGTCGGCTTCAGATCCGAGAACGCTGCTGGCGCCGCCGCCGATCCCAGCGGCGACGCCAGCAGCTTCCCCTGCTCTCCAATGCGCCGAGAAGCGACGCGGGGGTGCTCGGCCCGCCATGGACGACGAAGGATCCGCCGGGCGCGCGTCGGACGGTCCGGTGGCACCCTCTGCGCGCGGCACCTGCCGGCGCCCCGACGACACCCGTCGCGCCACCGCTGATGGAGGGGCGGTCGGCGCCGCTGCCGCCGCGCCGCCGGTGGGAGGGGCACTGGTGGTGGCCTGGGCGGCCCTCCGCCGCCGCTCGGGGCGCCCGGGCAGCGGTGGCAGCCTGCGCCCGCGTGCTTCGAGCTGCCCGCTCGGTGCTTCGAAATGCCCGCTCCGGCGGCCCGCGACCGCTGCTATTCTTTTTTCTACGTGCAAAATTCGAGCCAATAGAGGAAACTGAAGCGGGCAGGCTGGAAGCACTGAGGGACGGCCGATGTTCGCCCAGTGCCACACCTGATTTTAGAATCGCTCTATGGCCCATAACCACATATAACGTACTATAGGATCACTCAAAATGCGCGAGCCGCGAGTGTATGAAGTATGACACATAAGAACCTCGCCGGGTTGAGCCGGGGAGGGGGGTCTGCACTAGAAGCTGCTGCGCCGCTCTCTCCGCCGAAGATCGAGGGCCACTTCGTCCTCCTCGTCGGCTCCGACGTCCCCCACCTCCTCCTGCGTGCGGCGGAAATGCCTCCGGCGCATCCGCTTGCGCGCGTGCTCCTCCGACACCTGCAGCAGCTGCTCGCACACGCCCCACGAGGAGCGAATCATCTCGAGGAACGCGTCGCGCGGGACGCTGACCACCTCGCACCGCTCCGAGCAGCAAGTGACCGTCGTGTTGAAGGGCGCGCGAGAGAGGCACGCGGTCTCGCCGCAGCACTCGCCCCGCACCCGCGTGCCGATGTCGCGCCTTCAACACGAGGGAGGGGGGGCGCAATGAACGATCGTCTTCCCTCAAGCCCCGGCCTGACGCGAGGCGCTCGCCTCCGCCCGTCGACGCCGAGCATGCTCGATAGC